GTGGCCCATGCCTGTAATTCCAGCTACTCGGGAGGCTCAGGCAGAATTGCTTGAACCCAGAAGGCAGAGGTTGCAGTGAGCCAAGACTGCACCACTGCACTCTAGCCTGGGCAACAAGGGCAAAACTCCATCTCAAAAAAATAAAAAAAAAACTCTAAATCCCTAATACTGCACAATATTCTCAGCATTTCTCCCTACTTTTAACATTTTTTAATCTGCCCACTCTGAAAATTTAAAGAAACACATAAAATTAAAGACCTTTCAGTTCAGAGATTGTGTGTGTGTTAGAGGGAAGGGACAGATTAAAGTTGGGAAGGAACCAAAGAGTTTATCAAAAGATTTGGACTGGAGACCAGGTTTCACCTATAACTAGCTCTAGTTAATGTGGAGACAACCACATTACTCTAGACTTTAGTTTTCTCCTCTATATGAGGGGATGACTGGACTTGGATAAAAGTCCAGTGAATTCCAAATTAATACATTTGATCTTCACTTAGTTCTTTGAAACAGAGTTTTAGTGTTTACTCAACACTTCCAGTTCATATAAAAATTACAGCTGAGGGCTGGGCACGGTGGCTCATGCCTATTAATCCCAGCACTTTGGGAGGCCGAAGGGGGAGGATCACTTGAGGTCAGGAGTTCAAGACCAGCCTGATGAATATGGAGAAATCACACCTCTACTAAAAATACAAAAAAGTAGCTGGGTGTGGTGGCAGACACCTGTAATCCCAGCTACTCGGGAGGCCGAGGCAGGAGAATCACTTGAACCCGGGAGGCAGAGGTTGTGGTGAGCTGAGATCACACCATTGCACTCCAGTGTGGGCAGCAAGAGTGAAACTCTGTCTCAAAAAACAAAGAAAAGAAAATTACAGCTGAAAATGAATTAGGGAATTACTACTAGTTAGTAAACTGGTAGTTGAAATAAAATAAAATCTGAACAAAGTATGATCTAAAAAAAAAAAAAAGAAGGAAAGAAACCTTACCCTTCTCTTCTCTAGTTTTATAAGCCTGTTAACCACTTTGACAGTAAAAGGTGAATGATGACTGGTAATGTACTCCATAATAGGTTAAAAAAACGAATTAGAACTCATTCTTGTATTTCTACACAGGAATCATTAGCTGAAAAGAATCTTAGCCAGGCATGATGGGCACACCTGTTATCCCAGCTACTCAGGAGGCTGAGGCAGCCGGGGAGGTCCACCAGGCTGCAGTGAGCCATAATTTCATCACTACATTCCAGCCTGGGTGACAGAATGAGACCCTGTTTCAAAATAAACAGTCTTCATTGGAAACATCAAAGAGGCCAGGCACGGTGGCTCACGCCTGTAATCCCAGCACTTTGGGAAGCCAAGGCAGAAGACTCACTTGAGGCCAGGAATTTGAGACAGCCTAGGCAACAAAGGAAGATCCAGTCAATATTTTAAAAAAGAAAAAGAAGCATCAAATAGGAATGCATGTAGATCATCAAATAAGTAATTAGCTCTTAAAAATCATCACTAAATACTAAATTAAAATGTTTTTTAAAATGCCAATGAAGTCAAACATATGACCCAGCAATTACACACCTAGATATACCCAAGGGAAACAAAAACATGTCTGCACAAAAACCTGTATATGAATATTCACAGCAGCTTTAGTCATAATATCTCAAAAGGAGAAACTCAAATACCCATCAATTGAATGGATTAAGAAAATGTAGTTGATCCATACAATGGAATTTTATTTGGCAATAAAAAGGAACAAAGTACTGGTAACATGTTGTAACATGGACGAACCTTTTTATTTTTTTGAGACGGAGTTTCGCTCTTGTTACCAGGCTGGAGTGCAATGGCGCGATCTCGGCTCACCGCAACCTCCACCTCCTGGGTTCAGGCAATTCTCCTGCCTCAGCCTCCCGAGTGGCTGGATTACAGGCACGTGCCACCGTGCCCAGATAATTTTTTGTATTTTTAGTAGAGATGGGGTTTCACCATGTTTACCAGGATGGTCTCGATCTCTTAACCTCGTGATCCACCCGCCTCGGCCTCCCGAAATGCTGGGATTACAGGCGTGAGCCACCGCGCCCAGCCGAACCTTTTTATTATGCTAAATAATGAAAAAAAATTCACAAGAATCCTTTTACATGCAACGTCCGCAATAGGCAAATCTAGAGAGATGAAATTAAGCTGGTGGCTGTTGCTGGGGCAGTAATGAGGTTTCTTTCTGGGATGATGAAAATGTTCTACAATTAGATTATTGTGATGGTTGTACAAGTCTAAATATTCGAAAAATAACTGACTTAACTTTAAACAGGTGAACTTTATGGATGGAATGCAATCTCAACAAAGCTTTTAAAAATACAAATTAAGGCATAAAAACTGGGATGACCAGATACAGATTAAGAATGGTTGATTTGCAAGAGAGGTTCTGGATTTAAGTAGCAAAGGGAGACCTGATAATAGACACAGTACTTCGAGTTCTGTAAGAAGCCTGTATAAAGGTTTCTCTATCCTAGCACTCTAGGAATTAGGACTATAAGTTTACACAGGAGACAATCAGTTCTTCAGTCACACTTCCTAAACTGTCTCCCAAATCCTAAATTAAATTTATCAACTTTTTTCTTTTGAGTCGAAGTCTCACACTGAAGCCTGGGCTACAGTGCAGTGGCGCTGCGACCTCGGCTCACTGCAACCTCCATCTCCCGGGTTCAGTCGATTCTCCTGACACAGCCTCCCAAAGAGCTAGGATTACAGACGCCCGGCACCATGTCCAGCTAATTTTTTGTATTTTACATTGAGACGGGGTTTCACTATGTTTGCCAGTCTGGTCTCGAACTCCTGACCTCGTGATCTGCCTACCTCGGCCTCCCAAAGTGCTGGGATTATAGACGTGAGGCACCGCGCCTGGCCAGTTTACCATCTTTAGTATAAATCGATTAAGCCAAAACTTCCCTTTCCCAAATCCTCAAATCCAGTTTTAACAAGAATAAGAACACTTCATGTCACAATTCGGGGAAATTTCAGATAATCAGGGAAATTTCAGATAAGATGAACACACATCTAGGGAAAACGGATGGAGCATATAAGGAATCAGGAAGTTCAAATCTACATTTCAGAGGCTGATTTGAAAAACTGCACAATGACATAAACGAAGTAGAACTGCTCTGTAGAATTAAACTCAGACTTCCTACAAAAGTCATCTATGACATACACTGTATATAAAATTTAATCATCTGCTGATTACATTTGCAGGAGAGATGTTAATTCTGATGCAGAGCCAAGGCTGAGAATCACCACCACTTATTAGGTGTGTGACCTGGAGGAAGTTATTTCTCAAAATCTCATGTTTTCTCAATTCTAAAATAGAGTAACAATACCCATTTGAAAAGGTGGTTGTGTGACGGGACATTTATGAAAACCCTTAGCACAGTGCTCGATTCATAATAAGAACGCACCACTCTTCTCTATGTAATGTGAACATGAAGTGAATTTTGGTAACTCATCAGCCATAACTAATAACAAAATAATTATCATACTTAATATATTATACTATTTCTAGGCAAAGTGACTAAAAAGGGTTCATGAGCAGATGAAACAGATTACCCAAGTATTAAAAATAAACTGGTTCCTACCTCTTGCCACCTTAAAAAAAAATCACTGTACCTCTCTGAACTGCATTTTAATCAATTCCAAAAGAATGCACAAGAGTTGTAGGATCTACCTGACGAGATCCTATCAAATTTTTTGTAGGATCTACCTGACGAGATCCTACCAAATTTAACTCCAATTCCAGCAATAAGAATTGGTTGGGAACTGCTCCCCTCTAAAACGACTCATTGCAGACAAGCATGATTGGTTTTAGCTGATTGTATAGCTTTCTTTGCATTTCATGGACAAAATCCAGAAAGCTCTTGCCACCATTAACTTAAATCTTGGGCAGCTGTTTCTTAATTTATCTTAATCTTGAAAATTACCTATCAAAAGGTCTACTCCGTTTTCATCTTAAATCACTATGTGGCTCATCTCAGCACTGCCCCTTTCCAGCCTACAATCAGCAGTCCATGAGGAAAGCTGCAGTAAATGGAAGGATGAACAAGTCACAGGCAATTTCTGCCCAGAATGCGTAACAGCACAGACGAGTGCAAGAGCCACGGTGATAGTCGTTTGCTTTGGTTCAGAACTGCCACCGGACAGACCTAAAATAAGCACCAGGCGCATTACATAATGAACTTAAATACTGTTATTCCCATTTTACAGACAGATTCAGGGGCTTAGGGAACCTAGGCAAGGTCACACACCCTGTAAGTGGTGACGCCACGATTCAGTCTCATTGCTTTTTTGTTTTTCCCAGAGACCAAGCTCTTTCCAGTACACTGCCAAGCTCGCGCCCCTCGAGAGCGCTCGTTGGAAGCGCAACCCTCGCCCGCCCGCATCAATCCACAGGTGCGCTGCAGGAGCCGCCCGGGAAACCCGGCCCTGGCCCTCGGAGGCCAAGACCGCAGGCCAAGACCGCAGCCTTCGGGTCCCGAGGCGCCGCTCCAGGCGAGAGCGCCAGCTCGCCCAGCCCCGCCGACCCCCGCGCCCCATTGTTCCGGATCTCACTCACCTCGGAAGACGCCGGCGCAGGCCCAGCTGGGGCGCTCGCCGCAAGCTCCCGTCGGCCCAGAAAGGTAGGTCGGTGACGGCAGGATCCGCGAAGGCGTACCCGGCGACTTCTCCGCCTACCCTCCGAAGCGGGGGCAGGCGGGGGCGCTTCACCCTCCTCGCGAGACAGCGGAGACCCCAGTGGCTGCTGCGACCCCTATGACGCAAAGCGCTCATCACCAATGGCAGCTCCGAAGCAGGGCAGAGAGCGAGACCCACCCCCCAGCTCCCGGCGCGTCACAACACAACACCCGCCTTCGTCACGCATGCGCAGCAGACGCGCGCCAGCCTCGAGGGCGGGGCTCAGCGCGCCGGCTGAAACGCGGCCCCTCCCCCGCCGCGCAAGAGCCGGGATGAGAGACCCTCCCAGGCTGAGAGCACGGCCCTCATCGTCACTAGTACTCAGCCGCTTGGGACACTGGCTGAATGTTCGCCCCTAACTTACCCAGAAAACACAAGAACTAGTTCGATGTCGTTTCAAGCTCACCAAACTCTGCGGGAAGTTACGAAACTGTCTCTAGTGTCTAGATAGGGGAACTGTTACACGGACGTGAAGTCTCACCTCCTATTGTGTATCTCCAGGAAGCAAGACATGGAGTCCAAAACCAGTATCCTATAAAGTATTCAGAGAGGGATCCCCTCCAGGCTGGGGAGAAACAGGACAGCCTAACAAACAGGGCCTGGACTCTTCCCCAAACAAAACACGTTTTTCTCCACTTTTCCCCTTCCTACTCCCTGAAATCTAGACACTCTTTTTAAGAGAAACTGAGAGGTATGAAGAACGTCTAGAGCCTAAAGCGGCCCGTTGCCAGATTCTACTCCTCAGGCCTTAAATGTGAGCGTCCCAAACATTCTAGAGCTGAACCTGGTACGCTCGCCCGCAAAACTGCCGTGCTCGGGGCTTAGTATCTCACGCGCGGCCGTTGAAGAACATCAGACATGCTCAACAAACACTTGTTGCTTGACTGGTACATTATGGCGGCTAACGCGTCCCACCTATTTCTTCTTAGAGATATTATTTTTACAAGTTACACATTTAAGAATGGCTCGATTTACAGGAGTTCCCACAATGATTTGTCACATACAAAAGAGTGGGTGCTATTTTTACGTCAAAGATGAACAGACGAACGTCCATTAAAATTGTGTGGTATCAGATGCAGGCGGGGCGGGGGAGAAAGTGTTAATTCTTCCAGCGTTAGATGCCGATGTAATATTTAAAACATAGATTGTTTTCCAAACTAACTTTTAAATGGACACGACAGCACCTTATCCTGCAGTACTAATGCATTGCAACTAGAAAGAAAACCAGTGGAAGCACGCCTATCTCGATTTCTCTAGCTGGAAAGAAAAAAATTAACATTTTTCTCTAAAAAAATTAACGTTTATTTCTTCCCCTCTCTAAAAGGCGGGCTAGGCCCCCGATCACGTGATCCCGCTCCCAACTCCCGGCGGAAGAGGCCGGCGAAAGCGCTGCAAGAAGCGAGTAGGCGGACGCTTGTGCCCGGCTGAAAGATGGCGGCTGCCGCTAGGCAGCCACCGCCTGGGAGGTTACTATGAGGCCCGCAGCTCCCGCCGGCTCCCGCGGACCGCTGCCGCCTCCTTACCATGAAGCCAGTGAGTCGTCGCACGCTGGACTGGATTTACTCAGTGGTAGGTCCCTGGGCTCGCGAGGCTCCACCGTTATCGACTCACTGGGCCTGCAGACATAGGGCCCTATTTCTTCAGCACCCAGTAACTCCAAAATCCATTCTTGAATTAAGCATTTCACTCCCTCACCTCGACTCCGCCTCTTCCTGGAGGATACGATCTTCCGCTTCTTACGTGAGGGCTGCTGGGTGTACCCGCCACGGGAACCCCCTTTATTCGACTTTGCTACTGTAATTCCCACCTTATCAATGGCACGGGTGACCTGACCGGGGCGAAGGGAAATATCAGGCACATTACAGTAATTTTTTGGTTTTCACACCTCTTTTGCGGTTTTTGGTTATTTTAGTTGCTGCTTGCCATCGTTTTAATCTCCTGGGGCTACGTCATCTATGCATCAACGGTGGCTGCAAGACGACAGCTAAGGAAGAAATACCCAGATAATTTTTGGGACGAATGAAAATTTGTAACTCCTCTGGATTTAATTCTCTGCAAATACATTTCTTTCCCTCATGCTTATGTAGATTTAAAAATAAAATTAATAATGCAAAGCTCCCAAGTTTATTTTTGTATTATCCTTTATAATAAGCACTAGTATGCAAATTTTTCAAATAGAAATTTTAGCATTTTACCTTCTCATGACAAAATACAGCAACCGAGATCCGAAACAGTCTTTGAGTATCAGATCATGGTTAGAATAGGCTTTTCAATCAAGTTTCTAAATTCTTTTAAATGACTCAGAACGATTTATTTAAAACAAAAGTGCTGGACTTTCTGCTCTTATATTTGTTTATTGCGATATTTCACTCTGCTGCATATACCCTGATACCAAATTAGAGTAAGTACTATGTAAGGAAAAAACCTAACATGTAACTAAATACTTTTCCATATCCTGTTTTCCAAGTTGAGAATGGCCACAAAAAGTAAGTGGTCTCTCGAATTTGTTTAGCATGTTTAGTTTTTATTTATTGTTAAATTACTCAGTCTCAAATTGTACAGTGCTTGAAAAGAGGTATGACAATTTCTGAGATTAAACTTTATTAAGTCACTCTTCCAGATAATTCAGTAAATACGGTAATGTAGGAACAAACTTAGGCTCATAAGCCTTTTAAATTTTTACATAATCTTTAATGATGTTGATCAGGAAATTCTTTCATTGGTGGAATTACTTCTCCAGTCTCCACAATTGTATCACCCTAGAGAAACAAAGATACAGTTAGTAGAAAATCTTAAGTCTACAGAGGTGATAGTTCTGTTCCATGTTCATCAGACTTCACATGGAAAATGTAGTTGAGTTCTGGCATTCTCTTTAAAAGGACTCCAGACAAAGTAGAAGCTGTCTAAATCTGAACAACCAGTATTCAACACATCTTAAGGTACAGTGAAATCATAGGGAAATCTTCACTTAGAAACAAAATAACCAAAAAAGGAATGAAAATTGTGTTCTCCAAGTGATAAAGGGATAATCTTTTATTTTTGTATGGCCCCAAGAAATGGAGGCCCTAGAAAGAAGTTGCAAGGAAACGTGGAGTTCCAGATAAAAGAGGAAATGCACTCCCAGAAACTGAATATGTGTTAAGCAATTACCAGTTTTCTAATTGGCTTACATATTGAATACAGAATACAAACTTTGGCTGGGCAACTGGTCCAGGTCTTTCAATCCTAGATAATAGTGTGTGGGCAAAAAGGCATGGGTTTGAAGCCAGACCAAGTAGTGAGAATCTTAGAACCTCCACTGACAAGCTGCATAGTTTTAGACAGATTATTCAGCTTCAGTTTCAGCCCTGTGTTTAAGATAACAGATTCTGTCAGCCTGCCAGTGCCTGAATGACTGCATAGAGTAGAATCTTCCCCAACCCTACCCCAATTCCTGCCTTTCCCTGACCTGATACTGCTCAGGATTATAATACAATGAAAAAAAAAAAGTATTATGTTTAAGCCATTATACATTTGGGCAATAATTTGTTACCACAGCTATCATTATCCTAACAGAAATTAGTGCCTTGAAGTGGCACTAATGCAGCTGTAATAAAAATCAAGTTATGCTGGCCGAATTGGCTCACGCCTGTAATCCCAGCACTTTGAAGGCTGAGACGGGCATATCACAAGGTCAGGAGATCGAGACCATCCCAGCCAATATGGTGAAACCCCATCTCTACTAAAAATACAAAAAATTGGCTGGGCATGGTGGCACACACCTATAGTCCCAGCTACTCAGGAGGCTGAGGCAGGAAATTGCTTGAACCCAGGAGGCGGAGATTGCAGTGAGCCGAGATCAGGCCACTACACTATAGCCTGGGCAACAGTATGAGACTCCGTCTCAAAAAAAAACAACAAAAACACAAATCAAGCTGTAGGGCACTGGCTTAGCAGTCTGGTATCGAAGATAAAGGCACTGGAGGCTAAAAGATGGAAACAAACGGCAGTTTGCAGATATTTAGCAAAATACCTCCTATAACTTGGAAGCAGACTGCCTGATGAACTTGAGGTTCTAGGAGAAGTAGCTGGAAAAAAGTTACAGTATGTATTCAGATACTATTGGCTGCCTTGGGAGTGTACTTTTAGAAGCATGAGCTCAGGGAAAAAGTGGCTGATTTGAGAGGAGACATAAAAAAACAGGAGGAAGAGAGAACACCTTTGGTCCACACTAGACTTTCTGTTCCTGAACAAAAAAAAATTTAACGTACAGAATCTAAAAATTCAGGCCAGTCATGGTGGCTCATGCCTGTAATCCCAGCACTTTGGGAGTCCAAGGCAGGATGATTGCTTGAGGTCCAGAGTTCAAAACCAGCCGGGGCAAGAGTAGGACCCTACTCCCAAAAAATAAATAAAAATAAAAAATGAGGACCTTGTAGTATTGAAAAATCAGACTATTTCAGACTTCCTAAACAATAAATTAACACGAGAGATTCTGAGCAACAGAAGCCCAATAAAACTCAAACAGAGGGATGCAGCCCTATGGCAAAGATCAGATTAAAGTGAAGGCAGCCTTTGAACCAGTCTGCCTCAGATGGCCTCCACACAGCTCCCACTGAGGTGAGAGAGGCAGATGCATGAGAACAAAAAAAATGAGAGAAGTTGGTAACTATGTATAGGAAGAACAGATACTGGAATGAGAAAATGACTAGAAGTAAACACATTAGATGCCTACCAAATATTTTTCTTTGCATTCCTGCAAATGTTGAGGAAAATGAATGGACAAAGAAACCAAACACAGAGTTTACAAAATCCTGCCAGAATGTTTGAAATTAAAACAGCGTTTGGCATTCAACCTCCTGCAAGCAGGTGGCAGATTTTGAAGCCCATCCAACCCCTAAGGAGGGCATGCTTCCCACTACCATTTAGATGTGGTCAACATCGATAATGAAAAGAACAAACCCCCTGGACAGAGCCAGCAACCAGGAAAAACTATAGACAAAGGTGTTCTTTCCAGAAAACAAAATCAGTGCCCATTCAAGTAACTTCCCATACACAGGGGTTAGGAGTAAAATTTTAGAATTGCCAAGAACTAGGCCGGGCGCAGTGGCTCACGCCTATAATCCCAGCACTTTGGGAGGCCAAGGCAGGTGGATCACGAGGTCAAGAGATCGAGACCATCCTGGTCAACATGGTGAAACCCCATCTCTACTAAAAATACAAAAATTAGCTGGGCATGGTGGTGCGCGCCTGTAGTCCCAGCTACTCGGGAGGCTGAGGCAGGAGAATTGCTTGAACCCAGGAGGTGGAGGCTGCAGTGAGCCGAGATCATAGATCATGCCATTGCACTCTCCAGCCTGGGTAACAACAGCGAAACTCTGTCTCAAAAAAAAAAAGAATTGCCAAGAACCAGTGACTACTATGCTGTGTAAATTCTACCACTGAACAATGGATGTGGTTGGAGGACAAGGATACAGTTAACTTGCCTTCTTAGTTCACTGATCCTGAGATCAACAGAAGTCATATCTAAACCTGACATACTATTGTACATCATCTGGAGATCATGGATTTGGGGCCAGCTGCAGTGATAGAATGGGACTTTTGGATTTCTCCCTAAGTAGAGTGACTAAGTGTGTTATGCATGTGTAGAGAAAGAAGCAAAGAGCTGTTTGGTGACTAGAAGGATGGAATGTAGCAGAACCTTCATGAACAGGAGTCTGGGAAAAGGAAAGAACACACAGATAGTATTTGGGAATATTAGAATGAATTCTGGCCAACAGAATTTGAGCAGAAGTAATGTAAGCTACTTCCAAGCTTAGACACTAAAAATCATCCCTGAGATGCCCTGCCCTCTCTTTCCATCATGATCTTGGAACCTCATATTCACAAGGCATGGCTATAAATTCAGGAGGATCACCTCATCCGCAGAGTCTGTGATGTCAACAAGAAACAAACCTTTGTTTTGTTAGGCCATTGAGATTTGGAAGTTTTTTTTATTACCTATTCTATTCTAAACATATATACAATGACCATTCTTCAGTTCCTCAAAGGGGTCATGGTACAGAAACAGGAAAGAACCACAGTGACAAAAAATATAGAAACGTAAGAAATGTTACAGGATGCCTGATATGGTCTTCTGAATAGTGCTCTCCTTTTCCTTTGAACAGCAATGGCAAAATAAATAAAAAATAAACATTTAAATTGAATAAATAGAAGACTAAACAAATGTAAATTTCCCAGCTGGTGAAACCAGCAAGATAATTTCCTAGACTACCTAGGCTGTAATACACATCAATGTTATGCAATAAAACAAAAGGAGAAATCCCCTGCTTTTTTTTTTTTTTTTTTTTGAGACAGAGTGCTCTGTCACCCAGGCTGGAGGGCAGTGGTACAATCTCAGCTCACTGCAACCTCTGCCTCCCAGGTTCAAGCGATTCTTGTGCTTCACCCTCCCCAGTTGCTGGGATTACAGGTATGCACCACCATGCCCAGGTAATTTTTTATTTTTATCAATAGTAGAGATGAAGTTTCACCATGTTGGCCAGGCTGGTCTCAAAATCCCGGCCTCAAGTGATCCACCTGCCTCCACCTCCTAAAGTGCTGAGATTATAGGCGTGAGCCCACTGCGCCTTGCCCCCCACTTCTTTTCTTTTTTCTGAGACAGACTCACTCTGTGACCCAGGCTGGAGTGTAGTGGTGCAATCTCAGCTCACTGCAACCTCAGCTTTTCAGGTTCAAGTGATTCTTGTGCCTCATCCTCCAAGTAGCTGGGATTACAGGCATGTACCACCACACCCGGCTAATTTTTGTATTTTCTTTTTAGTAGAGACGGGGTTTCACCATGTTGGCCAGGCTGGTCTCAAACTCCCAACCTCAAGTGATCCACCCACCTCAGCTTCCCACAGTGCTGGGATTACATGCATGAGCCATCACACCTGGATACCCCCTCTTATTTCTTAAAGCACAGTTCCACCTGGGACAGTTGGCCAGTTTTGGTGGCCCTTCCTAAAATTCCCTTGTTGCAACAGATAATGATTACTGTGACTAAGTCATTTGATTAAAGCAAGAGTGACACTAAGTTTTGTTATTTAAATTACGGAATTTTGAGTTACAATAGTTCATTCATTATCTGTGACTAGAAATAGACAAGAACATAACATGTATTCTACTATGCTAAACGTAACCTCACCAACAGTAAAAATACCAACTGACTACTGAGTCATCTTTTAATGCTAAAATAACTCATTTTAAATTAGTACTATGGCTCACACACTCATAGTTTAAAATTTAAATTTAATATACATTTAGTGGATGTTAAATTCACAGATGGAGAACGTAAGGTCAAATCTTGAAAATGAGGTACAAAGCCATAGGACATGAGAGTTTGGAAGTAATAAAAGAAATTCAGTTGCTGTCACCATGCATGGATGTTTGCTTAGGCTCATGCCCTAAGTTCTTTACCCAACATGAAACAGGACACAGTGAAAAACTGCTGGTACTTTCAACTCCCTTTAGGAAATCAAGGTCACAAAACAAGTTTTACAGCCAGGTTGAAAATAAATGTGCTCACTTCCCATTTCAATTATAATTGCTCCCTCAGCTATTTCTTTCTTTCTTTCTTTTTTACAAGAATATGCAAAACAGGCACTTAAGCTGATAGTGAGAAGAAAAGAATATTTTAATCTAATGATTGCTTGGAAGGGGAGGAAAAGGAGAGAGAAAAATAATGAACAAAAGCAAAATCAGAAGTTTACTTACTGGGAATATTCTGGGCTTCGACTGAACGATGGCATATGGTTTTGTCTGTAATAAAAGTTAACTCTGTGTTAATTATAGTGTTAAGAGTTTCTTCGGAAAGTAAGAAGTAGGTCATACCCCAAATTTTAACTTAAGCTCCAAACTTTCACAGAACTCCAGACTCACATATCCAACTGTTTACTCAACATCTCTACTTGACTATCAAACAGGCATCTCGAACTTAACCAGGTCCAACACTTAATGTCTCCCAGCCCCAAACTGTTCCTCCCCATATGCCCCATCTCAGTAAATGGCACTTTTATTTCCTCAGTTACGAAAGCCAGAAACCTTTACTCCTCAGCAGAGCCTATTGATTCTACCTAGAGAATATATCCCGAATGCAATTGGCTCTCATCACCACCCTTGTCCAAGGCTCTATCATATTTTCATCTCAAATACCACAACAGCACCTACTAGCCTACTAGCCTCCCTGCTTCCCCTGGTGCCCTCCTATGCAAATGAAAACAGTCTATTCTCCACACTTCAGGCAGAGTACACTGATTCTTTTAAGATATGTCACTCTGCTCAAAGTTTCATCATTCTTAGAGAAAAAGCCAGTCTTTTCTCCCTCACTCATTTACGACAGCCACAGTGGCTCCCTTGCTAGGAGTCCAATTCGGTCAAGACTACTTGTGCCTCAAGGCCTTTTTACTTCATAATTCCTCTATCTGAAATGCTCTTCTCCTAAATACTTCTTGGCCCGTATCCTCATTTCATTTATGTTTGTCTTCAAAGATCACTTCTTGAGAGAGGCCTAATTAAAATAGCAGGCCCTATCATTCTCTAGTTTTTTACCCTGCTTAACTTTTCTTCTATAGACTTGTTCTCCTAAAAATTATATACCTCTTTGTATTTATTACCAGTTTCTAAACATTTCAGGAGGGAAGGGACTCAATCTGCTCTGTGCCCTGCTGTATCCCTGTGTTTAAAACAGTGCCTTGCTCACAGGAGGTACTAAATAAGTATTTGTTGAATACATACACTTTTTATGCATATACATCTGCACAAGACACCACTGCCCAAAATTTAAAAGATTATGCCTTATGATATAAGGCACAGAGAACTGAAACACGAGAAAAATTCAAAATACAATGTGAGGACTTCAAAATGTCTTTATGTGCCAAAGGCAAAAAGACACTGAAAAGTCATCTGAAAGATGCAGAATTCAATTAGGCAGCAAAGGAGTGAGCTGCAGCAAACTGGTTACAATCTTACTGAATATGCAGTCCTCTACCTACCCAAATCAAGAGAAAAACTAAGGTGAGTGAGTGGCTTTGGGACCTCTACTGACGCAAAACGTTTAACTAAATATATCCATCTATGGCTCAGGAAAAATCACCTGAAAGTGTGAACCCTCAGATAAACAACCATATTACTGTATTGAATTGTCAACCTAGTAATTGCAGCTTGTTAAATTTGCTTCTCCTGGAAGATAAGTGTCTTTTCAATCCCAGAAAAATGTCATGAAATTTAGATATGATAAAGTATGTTAAACCCAGAGTACAAATAAGTGAATGTGTCAACTTGTAAAAGTTCTGAAAACATTGGGACATTACATATGTTCTGTTGGTTAGAGTTTGTAATGTATAAGATAATCTAACAGAGGTTCAAAAAGGTTTAGGATTCTAGTTAAAATGCATAATGTATTTAGATTTGTGATTTTAGGTTGAAAAATATCACTTCTTAGAATCATAAATTTACCCTATACTTTGAAATAAAATTGTACATATAAAATGTATAAATGCAATTTAAAATATTAAGAGAATTTGGCTATATTTGTAAATGGAACTGTTTTAGAAGAGTTCAACTTCCCTTAATCCAAATATAGTAAAAACAAAAGAGATTATTCTTATTTTACTAGATGCACAGTTTAACAGAATTTTAAAACTGAATTTAAAGAATTAGGAAAAAATTATGTTTTTATGTTTGAAACTAAGGAACTGAATATTAATCTGTATTTCTAGTCACTATAACCAGTTCTTTCTGCACATAAAAATCACTCTTGAATGTTTCACTGACAGAAAGTAATATATTTACTTCTCTAGGATCTTACATGCCAAAATAGTGAAAACTTAACAGATGTATAATGAAATGAAGTAGCCTATAATGAAATGAAATAGTCTTTTTATGAACATAAAAAGTTTTTTTAAGCCCATCAACAACAGAAATATAACTGTTCTCAGACCCTTAAAGATATAAATTGTTAGCCCTTTTTTAATGGTTGCAGAAAGACTTTGTGTTGGTTTGCAATGTGAATATCCTCTAACCCAGCTCTAATTCCTCCTAGAACAAATAATCTCATGTTTTTAATGCATAAGACAGGCCATATCCACTTGGACTTCTCCAAAAATATTCACTTCTATTCCATCATCACAAAACCCTCCCTTCCAAAAATATCCTACTTATTTCCAAGGCTAGAGATAACAGTCATAAATGACTGTGAACTTTGGTTTTATCCCCAACCTAATCAACCACCAATTTCAGGAGTTTCTTCCTTTAAAACTGTCTCTGGCTTTTTCTTTCATTCATGCTCTCTTCACCTGAACCAGATTCTCAACTGACATCTACTAAAATGCAACAGCCTCCAGCTGATCTGCCCTGCTGTCAGAACTTTGCTCCCTTCAATTCACCCTACATTCCAATGTTTTATCTACATTTTCCTCAATATATCACATTCATCAAGTCACTCTCCCACTACAAAATGGAAAACTTCCCATTGCCTATCACATGCAGTTCAACTTCTAACTTTCAAGACCTTCCATAAATTGGTCCCAGACTACCCAGTCGACAGACCTTCCATTCTCTTCAGCTCCTCAGTCTTGGGTACATATGGCCATGTTCATTACAGACTCCGTATCTTTGCTTCTAACAGGAATTAACTTTTCTCCTCAAGATTCTTTCCCAAATTATACCTAACTTCCAACTTTACTATAAAGTCCTTGAGGTTGGAATTGGCCTTGCATATTCTTTCTATAGCAATAATGGAAGAGGATACACTAGGCACTCCATATTTGTTAATCAAAGGGCTTAATCTGCTTAGTACACAGAACAAAGATGTCAACAATCAGAATTTTAAAGAGCCTGCATAATCAATAGAGAACACAATCAGAGAGAGCAAGTCATGTTGGGGGCGGGGTGTTCTGAAAAGCCCCCAAAATTTTGGTTGTTTCACTCTTCTGTCACTAGGCTAACAGAAAGCCAACATCAATTGGATTATCTATAATTTGTTAGGCAGTCCTTAACTTCTGTCTCATTTTTATTCTGAAATAATTTTAAACTTACATAAAGCTGCAAGAAAGAAAAAAATAATTTTTTCCTTGAATCACTTTATAGTAAATTGCCAACGTTTATTACTATAGTGTACTTCCTACAAACAAAGACAACATTCTTAAAAATAATTACAATACAACCATCAAGATAAGGAAATTTACACTTATACATTACTATCTCTACCTGGTCTAAAAAATCCAAATTTTCCCAATTGTCTCAGTAATTGTTTGAACTTATGAGAAAAAAATCCCCTTATGTGATAAGTTCTCCAGTGATTGTTTAGGCTCTTTAAAATTCTGACTGCTAACATCATTGTTCTTACAGATTATGAAATTATGCCTATTAATGAAGAATTGCATTTCGTTGGCATATCTCTTGATTCTTCCTCAATCTAGAACAATCTTAAAGTCCTCCTTCAACATTCATGATCTTGACATTTCTGAAGGTGTAACACCAATAATGATGCAGAATAGCTCCTCAGTTTGGGTTTATCTCCTGTTTCCTCATGTGAATTTAATCAATAAATTACATTCAGGTTATGCACCACTGGCAGGCATATCACAAAATTAATACTGTGTTCTTTTTATTACAGCCTATCAAGTATAACACATAACTTCAGTTTGTCCCATTATCAATGTTAATTTAGATCTCTTGACTAAGGTGGTGTCTGCCAGATTTTTCTACTACAAAGATAACCCTTTCTCCCTTTGTAACAAGTATTTTGAGGATAAGTATTTTAAAATAAATATTAGCATACTCTTTATTATTTTTTTGTATTTTTGAGATGGAGTCTTGCTCTGTTGCAAGGCTGGAGTGCAGTGGTATGATCTTGGCTCACTGTGACCTCTACCTCCCAGGTTCAAATGATTCTCCTGCCTCAGCCTCCCAAGTAGCTGGGACTATAGACACGCACCACCATGCCCAGCTAATTTTTTTATTAGTAGTACAAACAAGCTTTCACCATATTGGCCAGGATGGTCTCAATCTCTTCACCTTGTGATCTGCCCATGTAGGCCTCCCAAAGTGCTGGGATTACAGTTGTGAGCCACTGCATCCGGTTTTTTTTTTTTTTTTTTTCATTTTTTTTATTGAGACAGGAGTCTCACTCTGTTACCCAGGGTGGGGTATAGTAAGCAACACAATTGTAGCTCATTGCAGGCTTCACATCCTGGGCTCAAGCAATCCTCATGCTTCAGCCTCCTGAATGGGTGGGACTACTCTTCTCTTGGCTCTTTTTTTTTTTTTTTTTTTTTTTGGTAGGAACGGCGCCTTACTATGTTGCCCAGGTTGATCTCAAACTCTTGGCCTCAAGCAGTCCTCCCACTTCAGCTTCCCAAAGTGTAGAGATTACAGGTGTGAACCACTGTGCCTAATATTAGCATCCTTTTGTGTTCCTTAGCTGAATTAAATATTACCATGATTCTCAAATTGTTATTTTTCTAATTCTATCATTCAGCAAATTATTGCTTTAAAAAAAGCTTTCGTTTCTACCCATTTATTAATTCACTTATTTCTTAGTTTGCACTCATGGATTTTCATTTTATTCAGTTGACTCCCATCTATTACTATCATTATTTATTTTGATGCTCATATTGCCCTGGCAGGAGTCCTTGCAAGCTGTGTCCTTTTAAAATATTCTTTCAGCACGTCTTTACTTTCTGGCACAATATGTTCCAAGCTCATCTTATACCTTCCTCCTGCCCTGGAGTCAGTCATTGCTCTGAGCTCTGGGTCCTTTCAGTGGATAACTGTATTTAGAAAATAAGACCTGGCTTCTAAGCGTGCTAATTGCTAAGGAGTAGCAATGTTTCTAGGCCCTCTCAGTGGACAGAGCTAGAGAATATGTCTACACACGCAGACAGACAGACACACATATCCACATTTACATCCATATCTATTTCTAGGTATATCAATACATTTTGAAAACCATGAGTTCACACCAGTACCTCCAATTCCACTCTACCACCACAAGCTTTTCTTCCTTTTCACATACATAACTCCCTTTTCTGACAGTGAGAATCTTGGGTCCTTTCATCATCAACATATGTACTTGCAGGCATATGTTGCACTTTGCTTTATTGCACTTCACATATATTGTGTTTTCTTATAAATAGAAGGTCTGCAACAATCACAAGACAAGCAAGCCTATCAGTGCCATTTTTCATTTTTAGAAAATTCGTATTGCTTTTCCTGATTATATAACAAATGTAAAAATTCAAATATTACAAATGACTTTTTTAAAGGTACATTTTAACATGTTATAAAATGCCCATTTCAAAAAATTCAAGTATCATAAAATACATGCTTTTGAAAATGGGCCCTCTGTAATCCAGTCCCACTTCTGTGTCCCTCAGGATTACTGCTGTTCAGTTTGGCATGTTTCCTTCTAGACTGTCTCTGCGCACCCGCTGCCTGCACTGCTGACATGAGCTCCATATTATCTGAGATGACAGTAACTCTGATAAACAGAGCAGGGTTCAGCTTCCAGTGCACTGAACAGCTTCCAGCTTCTACAGAGAAACACTTTCTTCATAAAAGCTTGAAACTGTGACATAGTTTTGCACTACGTAAATGTATCAGGTTGAATCATGAAATTATGATAGCTGACCATCTTGGGCCTAGAAAAACAGCAGTTTCATGTGGTTCAACATAATAGCGATGGTCCTACTCATAGACATTGGGAGGTTTCCTGCCGTTATAAACATTTCAGTATGCCAGGTGTGGTGGCTCATGCCTGTAATCCCAGCACTTTGAAAGGCCAAGGTGGGCAGATCACCTGAGGTCAGGAGTTCAAGACCAGCCTGGCCAACATAGTGAAACCTGGACTCTACAAAAAATACAAACATTAGTCAGCCATGGTTGTGGGTGCCTGTAATCCCAGCTTCTTGGGAGGGTGAGGCAGGAGAATCGCTTGAACCCAGGAGGCAGAGGTCGCAGTGAGCCGAGACTGCACCACTGCACTCCAGCCTGGGTGAGAGTGAGACCCTGTCTCAAAAAAAAGAAAAAAAAAAATCAGCAGTGAATGTCCTCGTATGTTCTTTATGGAGTACAAACATCTTACCCCCAAAGCATGACACCTCTCTTTTGGGCATATAAAAAGAGTCAAGAAGGATGGAGCTGCCCATTTGCCATGGAAATGAAGAACCAGCAGCGACCTGAGGCATAAACAACTTGTCCCTCAAGCAAAAGTGGCCAACTTCAGCCATGACACCATTTTAGTATGGTGACCACACTACATGAGCAAACCAAATAACAGAAGAATTCCTCAGCTCAGAGACAATTCTTATCCCTAATGACCAGTATGACCAGGAACTCACAGACATCCAGTGAGCACCCCAAAGCTGTCCTCTGGAAGTTGGGCTGTCAGAAGGTATAAAAATTGATTCAGGCCCAGTGTGGTGGCTCACACCTGTAATCCCAGAACTTTGGGAAGCTGAGGCGGGTGAATCACCTGAGGTCAGGAGTTTTAGACTAGTCTGACTGACGTGGCGAAACTCCATCTCTACTAAAAATACAAAAATTAGCCGGGAATAGTGTGCATGCCTATAATCCCAGCTACTCAGGAGACTGAGGCAGGAGAATAACTTGAACCCAGGAGGCAGAGGTTGCAGTGAGCCAAGATCATGCCACTACACTCCAGCCTGGGCAACAAAAGTGAAACTCCGTCTACAAAACACACACACACACACACACACACACACACACACACAGATTCAGAAATGTACTGAAATCAGATATACAGGAAACATTTTTTAAGGTTTTTCCCAGGAGCTACTGGAGTGACCAAAAAAAATAAAAAGGCACCTGTTAAAATTATGCCTATCAGGCCTCACACAAAGAAAAGAACATGGTGTGTATGTGTCACTGGTGCTTTCACACAGGCTGCTTCCTCTTCAACCTTGTCTGGGGTTTGTAGATTCTGTTATGGTCACAGTTGAGCTTGTGGGTGGTTTTCTTATGGAGGACAATGTACACTAATTTTAAGTTCTCTGAGGTAAAAAGCAGGCCATAAAAATATTCCCAGTTCACTTCTCTTCTGTCTTGTTCCTTAACTGCTTCCCCCAGTGTAGGAATGATGGTACATTCTTTTTTCTATTATGTGATCCAGGTTCCAGGTGCTGAAGAGGATCCTGCTCTCCCTATTACTATAGGGGTTGATGTGAGTGTCTCGACAAGCAGACGTCCATGTCGAAGGGGCCCTGGCAGGAGAACCAACCTTGCGGTGCGCAGAGACGGCCGCCGCCCTTGCCTCTGCACACCGGAGTAGTGCCAGTGCTGTCCAAGTAGCTGCCGTTGTACTGCTCAGACTGGAGTATCTGGCATATGGAGCCAAGGATTCACAAGAATTCCTCCTTAGCCTCTGCACCCACCTTGGAGGAGTAGGAGCTCACCTCTCTCAGGTAACTTCGGATCCGGCTCTCACAATTGTATATCAGATAGCCAGACTTATTCCGAAATTGGGACTTTAAGCCTTCAAACCACAGCGGGTCCTCAGCCAGGGTCTCTGCCATGATATTCTGGCTCGTGTTGTGCAGGAGGTTGGCTAGCAACCTCTGCCTCTGCTCATCACACAGCAGCTGCCCGGAGGCCTGGATGAACCCCACGTGCGGCTCGTGAAATGCACTGAGGAAGCGCCCAATGTCACTCACATAGCCTTGCCTGGCCTGGCCCAAGGTGAGCAGCATCAGCTCAGAGTTGTCAGGGATGCTGGGAAAGTAGACTTTGGTCAGCTCTGTGCCATCCTTGTGCAGGCACAGCCGGGAGCCATGCTCAGGGAGCTGGAACCAGAGGCAGCCCTTGCACAGTACCTTTGAGAAGCTACTGCCTGCCACGCTGAACTTCCACTTCACAGTCTTGGGCTTCTGAAGCAATGCAGATGTCCCCAAGGGATCTGGGACCCGCAGGCGGCAGCACCCGCTGGCCAGCTACTTAGGCCCCTCCTTGCCCCGGCCACAAGGGTCTGCACCAGATGGGATCTGCAAAGCTGGCACAGGCCAGGCGCTGATCCCAGAAACTCAGTGCCATTTTTCAAACATGTGTTTGCTTCATGACTCTGTGTCATATTTTGGTAATTCTCCTAATATTTCAGTTTTTTTTGGAAATGGAATCTCACTCTGTCACCCATGCTGGAGTGCAGTGGCGTGATCCCTCATTGCAACCACCCTTTCCCAGGTTCAAATGATTCTCCTGCCTCAGCCTCCCAAGGAGCTGGGACTACAGGCATGCACCACCATGCCTGGCTAATTTTTGTATTTTTAGTAGAGATGGGGTTTCATCATGTTGGCCAAGCTGGTCTTGAAATCCTGACCTCATGATCTGCCCACCTCAGTCTCCCAAAGGGCTGGGATTACAGGTGTGAGCCACTGCACCTGGCCTCAAACCTTTCCATTATTGTTATATTACTATTTGTTATGGTAATCTGCATTCAGTGATTTTTGATGTTACTACTATAAATTTTAGGAGGCAACACAAATCACACTCATATAAGATAGCGAATTTAATCAGTAAATGTTGTGTGTTGTGACTGTTCTACCAACCGGCCATTCCCCACCTCTCTCCTTCTCCTTGTACTGTCCTATTCCTTGAGACACAACAATACTGAAATTAGGCCAATTAATAACACTACAGTGACCTCTAACTCTTCAAGCAAAAGGAAGAGCTGAATGTTTCTCATTTTATATCAAAAGCTACTTGCTAGGCTGAGGCAGGAGAACTGCTTGAACCTAGGAAGCAGAGGTTGCAGTGAGCCAAGATGGCACCATCACACTCCAGCCTAGGTGACACAGAAAGGCCCTGTCTCAAAAAGAAAAAAAAATAGTAATTCCTCTGATGGATCTAGGCAAAGTATATAGAAAATCTTCTGGGAAAGAATTTACCATCCCATATGCCATTAAGAAGATTTATGACTCATGGGAGGAAGTCAAATTATTAACATGAACAAGAGTTTGAAAGAAGTTAATTTCAACTCTCGTGAGGGGTTCAAGGCTTCTGTGGGTGGAGGGAAAACTGTCGATGTGGTTGATATAGCAAGAGAACTAGAATTAGAAGTCAAGCCTGAAGATGTGACTGAAGTGCCTCAATCTCATGATAAAGCTTGATAGATGAGAAACTGCTGCTTCTGGATGAGCAAAGAAAGTAGTTTCTTGAGATGGAAACTGCTCCTGGTAAAGATGCTATGAACATTGTTGAAATGGCAACAAAGGATTTCAAATATTACATAAACTTAGTTGTAAAGCAGCAGCATGGTTGAGAGGACTGACTCCAATTTTGAAAGTTCTATTGTGGGTAAAATGCTATCAAACAGCATCTCAGGCTACAGAGAAATCTTTCATGAAAATAAGAGTCAACTGATGTGGCAAACCTCAGTGTGGCAAACCACACACACACACACACACACACACACACACACATTCTTTCTTTTGTGAGACGGAGTCTTACTCTGCTTCCCAGGCTGGAGTGTACTGGTGCAATCTCGGCTCACTACAACCTCCGCCTCCTGGGTTCAAGCAATTCTCCTGCTCAGCTTCCCAAGTAGCTTGGATTACAGGCACCCACTACTATGCCTGGCTAATTTTTGTATTTTTAGTAGAGACGGGGGTTTCACCATCTTGGCCAAGCTGATCTTGAACTCCTAACCTTGTGATCCACCTGCCTCAGCCTCCCAAAGTGCTGGGATTACAGGCATGAGCTACTGTGCCCAGCCTATTGTCTTGTATTAAGAAATTGCCACAGCCACTCCAGCCTGCAACAACCATCACCCTGATCAGTCAGCAGTTATCAACATCGAAGAAAGACTTTTCACTAGCAAAAAGATTATACACAGTCACTGAAGGCTCAGAAGATCATTAGAATTTTTTAGCAATGAAGGTTTTTTCTTTTTAAGACAGGATATCACTCCAGCACCTAGGCCAGAATCCAGTGGCGCAATCACAGTTTATTGCAGCCTCGACCTCCTGGGCTCAAGCCATCTTTCCATCTCAGTCTCTTGAGCAGCTGGGATTACAGGTGTATACCACCAAATCCAGCTTTTTTTTTTTTTTGTAGACGTGGAGTCTCACTATGTTGCCCAGGCTGGTCAAACTTCTGGCCTCAAGCAATCTTCCTACCTTGGCCTCCCAAAGTGCTAGAGCTATAGGTGGGAGCTGCCATTACCCAGGCTGGCCGAACTTCTGACTTCAAGCTATCTTCTCACCTTGGCCTCTCAAAGTGCTAGGGCTACAGGTGGGAGCCACTGCACCTGGCCCAGCAATAAAGTATTTTTAAATTAAGGCATATACATTGTTGTTTTACACATATGCTATTACAAACTTACACTACAGCACAGTGTATATGTAACTTTTATATGTACTAGGAAACCAAAAAAATTTGTGTAACTTGCTTTGGTGGTCTATAACTAAAGAATACTTTTGGAACTGCAGTGGTCTAGAACCAATTCTACAGTATCTCTGAGGTATGCCTGTATTTAACCAATCTCCCTATATATAACCAATCTCCTGTCACCACAACCACACCCCAGCATGAATACACCTGTCTCACCTCATTCAGGTTCTGACTTTTTTTTTTTTGAAACAGAGTTTCGCTTGTTGCCCAGGCTGAAGTGCAATGGCAATGATGTCGGCTCACCATAACCTCCACCTCCAAGGTTCAAGCATTTCTCCTGCTTCAGCCTCCCAAGTAGCTGGGATTACAGGCACATGCCACAACAGCTGGCTAATTTTTGTATTTTCAGTAGAGACAGGAGTTCCTCCATGTTGGTCAGGCTGGTCTCAAACTCCCAACCTTAGGTGATCCACCCGCCTTGGCCTCCCAAAGTGCTGGGATTACAAGCGTGAGCCACTGCGCCCAGCAGGTTCTGACATCTTACTCTGAGTTGTCAGCTGCCTCATGCCATCCTTCTTCCAGATATCCTCCTCCCTCTGCTCAGGTTCCAATATCCTATACTAGGCTGTTGCCACTGTTGTTCCCCAAACAGATGTGCTCACCCTCCTCCCCTGCAACCCACTCAGGATCTAACACCCCTCATTTGGTATATGAATGCCCTCCTCACTCTTTTGTGCTCCAACATTCCATGCTACACAGCCACCACTGCTCACTCTGCCATGCCACTTCCCAAAATGCATGCCCTTCTCATTCTGCGTGGGATCCAACATCCTGCACCAGACTGAGCCTTTAAAAACCACAACTGGCTCAGCTGAATCAGCCCATACAAGATCTATTATCAGTGAAAAAGTTCAGGCATCTGGACATCCTGAGTTCTAAATAAATAAAGTTGTGAAGAATCAGATAAAATGAAGGAAACAGAAATGGGATGGACAAAGATAAGCTTTGTCTATTTTGAATTTTTATCTCATACCAGATATAGGTTGTTATAAAGGAGCAGAAATTCTTTTCTCCCTTCCTATTCATGACCTGAATTTACCCTAATATTATTAGGTCACTACATCCTGATCTTTTAAATACTATTCCTATGAGAAATCCATTTCAAGTTGTAAACTAATACAGTGACACAATTTTTGAAAAACTATTTTCAATTACTTGTTTCATTAAATCTCTTCCCTAAGGGAATTCAAAGTAGATCAAAATCAGTTTACAAGTGACAGATTATTTCCACTAAGCAGAGTAAGATACCCACAAAGAAAATAATTTTGGACAATATTGAAAATAAATTCTGAAAGGAATACTTACAGCCACATGATATTTCACGTAATAATGAACAATCCAGGCAGGAATAAGTACACAAGTAAAAATAAACATACTCTTTCGGTATACCTTATAGACCTGGGGGGGAAAAAAACACATACACAAACTAAACATATCCCATATTTTATATTTATGGCAGAACAAAAAGCATCAATGATGTAACAATGTCATTATTATTTTACAAATCTCTAAATGGTACCTATTTTCTTATAGTCTGTGGCTAACTTCATCTACTTAAATATTATTAGTAAATGCAGAGTTTTTCAGAAGATACCTACAAAATCCAAACCAAAAAGCTTAAGATAAGTAGTATTTTGCAAGACTATAGCAAGGCATTTATAGATTTTTTTAAAGACTTCTAAAACTAACTTTATCATAAGTTTGTTAAATATAAAATATAGCAAAATAATAAAAGAATAATTTTAATGTATTTAACTAGAGAAATCAAACCTACAGAATATTTCAGGTATAGTCATCTCTCTGATTTAGCTATCAATGCCACTCACATTATTTTAGGTATAAGGCAGACAACCTTGACATCAATGCTGGAAAAAGGACATTTTACATACTGAGATGGGGTGCCTCGAGCTCACTCCAAAATGCCTTCTGCAACGTTATTTAAAGAAAAAACAAACTAAAAATGGAACTCTCCCATGTCCTCCAATTTGATTAAAACACACCTATCCATTCAAGGAAGGGGTAATCCAGAGTCTAAGAATTATAACCGATATGATTATAAAGTAACAAATTAACTCAAAGTAAGGTAAGGTGAATTTCAACACATGATTATTTATTTACTTCCTTAGATCACTCGCTGATGGATGGGACTTCAGCTTTAAATCGGTGACTGACAATATCCTGATAATGTCTGGGATACAAAGGGTGGGAGAAGAGTTGAATTTTACCACCATAAATAAGTATCCAATACCACTTTTTCAGAAAAATTTTCAACAATTCTGTTGCACTAGAATTTGTAGCACAGTAAGAAATAGATACATGTTGATTTCAATATGAACTCCTTCAATTCCTAGCTCCCTGACCACCGGCAAATCACTGGATCTTTGTAGGTCTCAGTTTCCTCACATTTAAAGTGAGGATTAGGAATAGTTTCTACCTTACAGGAATAAAGAAATGAAGTAACACATGTAAAACCCTCAGTAGAGTGCCAAGCACACAGCAAGCACCCAAGTGTTACTATTATTACTACTATTATCAGTAAGCTTTGCAGGTAACTGAAAGCAATTCTGAGATGTGTTTATCACCCATAACAGACCTCAAGAAAATACCCAGAGGCCTTGAAAATAAAGCTTCTGAATGAGTGATTTTCTTCAAAGACCCAAATGTCATTTTTCAATGAAACACTGTGTTAAAAGTACAGTGTGGTAGTTTATAAATGTAGCTCTTCAACGTAGCTCACTAGGCATACCAACAAGACCCTGTCTTTTATGTTGATCACATGGAGCTGTACTACCAGCAAGCGGCTAGTTGTGCCCTCTGGTAGTTGGATGCTGTGTTACCTGGTCTCTAGAACCTCACACTTAAAAGTTAGACAAGTGTCCTCAAATAGTAAAATCACAGAATTTTAATTGCAGCCAGTCCTTGACTATTAATTCTGGGAAAAGATTTCTACAGTCAAGAAAATCAAACGTGCAGCGTCCTGGAAAACCTAAGTATTAAGATTCGCCTCCGTCTCACTGTACTTGATGGTAAAAGGCATGATTCTCTCAAAGCCATACATATTCCTGGACTCCTGCCTCCCGAGACTCCAGGAGGACTCTCGGGACAGGCCAGTGTCACCAATCACGGAACGTTATCAGTGGGGCTACAGGGAGCGTACGTCCAGTGTCCAGGCTACCGGCCGCGGTGGGATGCGTTGGGAAGGATCACCACTCACCACTCACCATGTTCCTCCAAGGGGACTTATTTGCCAAAAACTTATCCCAGAATCTGTCCATAGGCCACGTCGCCTCTGGGGGCAGCACCGGCTCCCGAGGGCTCAGCTCCTGGTCCTTTAGCCATTGCCTTCTCAGCGCTCGCAGCTGCTGCTGCCGCAGTTTCTCATCCGGAGTGTACCCCGACATGTCGCCGCTGGTATTAAGGCAAAAGGACACAGAGCGCCCTCAAACTAGGGCCTCCTTACTTAAGCGCTCTCCAGCTCTGCAAAGCGACCTTGAGGGCACCGCTGGGGGCAGCGCGCGGTTATTACGTCACATCCTGGTCCTGCCTTTGCAGGGGGCCCAGATTCCTCGCGAGAAGAGCCGTGTCCTGGCATGCGCAAAGCTTTCCACCTCCAATTTCCTCTCCGGCTACCTCCGCTTTACCCGCCTGGATTACGAGCCTGTGGGGACGCAGACTACTCTTAGTTGTGGGGTCTGGGAAAAGTGGCAATATTAGACGAAAGTATGCTAAATAAGAGGACTGTAGGTTTTGTTCAGGAAGAATTTGTATGCTGGGAGCAGGAAGGATAAGCATATGTGTTTCAGTGAATATGCTGGCCAGATACAAAATTGTTCGCTTGCCTCTCCCACCTTGGAATGACCTAGAGAGTGTATGAAAATAGTTTCATCCAAGTTCAAATCCCAGCTGTGCCGGTAACTGCTAAAGTGCCCCTGGGCAGCTGTCTCATCTGTCCCTCCATTTGTACAGCAACAGTGTAAAGAGTAGCTTAATATCTAGCAACAATGCATAGATGCGTTCATGCTTTCACCCAAAACTATATGTGGTGAAAATATCAAAGGGCATGCACGATTAGTCAACACGATTCATAATAGCAAAATATTGGAAATTACCCCCAAATTCCTAAATAAAGGACTGCTTGAATAAAGTACAACAGTCAAAAGACATCATTACAATGTATTAGTTTAAAGATCTGAATTGACTCATTTGTGATTCTAGAATCAGAAAACACTTCATTCTATAGAGTAGAATGAGTGTTCTGATCAGCTGAGCAGCCACGGTCGGTTTATTGGCAAAAGGGCTGAAGAAAGCAGAAACAGAACAAAAAGTGGATTCATTGTTTCAAAGTTACTTTTAGGGTTAAAGCAGAAGGGACTTCCTTATTTCACTGACTCAGGTTTAGAGGAATTTCCTGGTTTTGGAAAACTGGCCTATTTCAAAGTTCTGTTTGATTATGTGGTACTTAGCACAAACGACTCCATTCTGGTTTGGTCTGGTCTGGTCTGCTCTGCTGGGGCCTAAGTGCATGAAGCTAGTATGGAGTACATGTGCAGATCTTGCAGGATTGTTGCATAGGTACACACATGCCATGGTGGTCTGCTGCCTCCATCCCTTCCCCCCCCACACACCTACATTAGGCATTTCTCCCAATGTTATCCCTCCCCAGCCTCCCCACCTCCAACTACCCCTTCCCTAGCCCCTCCACCCCCAACAGACCCCAGTGTGTAGTGTTCCCCTCCCCGTGTCCATGTATTCTCATTGTTCAACACCCACCTATGAGTGAGAACATGCATTGTTTGGTTTTCTGTTCTTGTGTCAGTTTGCTGAGAATGATGGTTTCCAGATTCATCCATGTCCCTACAAAGGACATGAACTCGAGGATGAGATTTTATAAGGGTAAAATAAAAAGGGCAAATAGTCAATCCTCTTTATCTGTGGGTTCCACAATTACATATTCAGCCAACCACAGACAGAAACTATTCAGGAAAAAAAAAAAAAGTGGTATGAATTTTAAACAATACAGCATAACAACTATTGACAGAGCATTGACATTGTATTAGGTATTATAAGTAATTGTAACTGAAACACAGGTTTAGTTACTCAACACTTGCAGAGTTCAGTTAACAAGAGAGAAATCTGGTATAAAGAAAGTGACTATATTCCAAAGCTAGCTTAGGGGGAGAGGTATGGGCTTCCAGCCTCAAAGATACTGCTTCACTTTTGGAGCAGAAAGTGAGTACTTTCGAAAGACAGGAGAAAGCAAACAGGTGGGAAGTCCACATGCTAGCTTGGCACCTTATCTACTATGCAGTCAAGTTGGCATCTGTACAGACAGAAATAAGTTATAAAAATGGCCAAAAACTTTCCCGGCGGGAGAGGGTTTTTCATCAGGTGTACTTTGGGATGTAAATCTACTGCTACCTCTCAAGGCAATCTCCTGGTGGGTGAGTTTGCTCTGGAGCTTTTAAGTACATAGATGGCTCTGTAGGGAGTGTCGTGAAGGGGAGGTAAAAGATAATAACTGCATTTCAAAAGGGCTAGTACGAAGTGGAGAACAGGGGAAAACAGAGAGGAGAAAAGAAGAAAAATAATAAAAAATAATAGTAACTCATTCTCTTTTTCTTAGAAAAACCAGGGTACCCAGTTACATAACCTAGATCTGACTTAAAGTATATGTGAGGATGTGCATAGGTTATATGCAAATACTACCCCGTTTTATATAAGGCTTCTAAACCAAACAAAATCTGGCCTGAGAAAGTCCCATACTTTCATACTTGAGTTCTTACTTAGGAATTGCAACCTAACTTAATAGATAAGCAAATAGAAAAATCTAATGGAGACATACTTATGTAACAATAGCTGAATCTCAGTCAATCACTGCAGCCATACTTCAACCACTCACAGGTGGACAACTGTCCAAACCTGGGTAAAATAAGGCAAAAGCCAAGCTATAACCAATCTGGCTGTTTCTGTACCTCATTTCTGTTTTTTTGTTGTTGTTGTTTGTTTTTGAGACAGAGTTTCCCTCTTGTTGCCCAGGCTGGAGTACAATGGTGTTGTCTCAGCTCACCACAACCTCCACTTCAAGCAATTCTCCTGCCTCAGCCTCCTGAGTAGCTGAGATTATAAGCATGTGCCACCATGCCCAGCTAATTTTGTATTTTTAGTAGAGCCGGGGTTTCTCCACATTGGTCAGGCTGGTCTCAAACTCCTGACCTCAGGTTATCCACCTGCCTCTGCCTCCCAAAAAGTGCTGGGATTACAGGCATGAGCCACCTACCCCGGCCCCTTTTCCTATTCTTAAAATCTCTCCAACTGTGTAGTGATAACTCCCTGAATTTGCTGTGATTCTGAGGGCTACCCAATTTGTGAATTGCTTTCTCCTTGATCAATTAAACTCTGTTAAATTTAGTTTGTCTACAGTTTTACTTTTAACAAGGGAGATGAGCATCTGTGGATATGGGTACCTGAGAGGGGTCCTGGAACCCTCAGCATCCTTGGGGGTGTGGATACTGAGTGATGACTATTATTATGAAAATAATCTTGGCCGGGCACGGTGGCTCAAGCCTGTAATCCCAAGCACTTTGGGAGGCCAAGGCAGGTGGATCACGAGAGATCGACACCGTCCTGGTCAACATGGTGAAACCCCGTCTCCACTAAAAATACAAAAAATTAGCTGGGCATGGTGGCACGTGCCTATAATCCTAGCTACTCAAGAGGCTGAGGCAGGAGAATTGCCTGAACCCAGGAGGCAGAAGTTGTGGTGAGCCGAGATTGCGCCATTGCACTCCAGCCTGGGTAACAAGAGCGAAACTCCGTCTCAAAAACAAAAAAAAAGAAAATAATCTTGATATCACGGACCCTATAAAAGGATCGCAGGGAATCTCAGGAGCTCCTGGGTCAAACTTTGAGAACCCCTGCCTTGAAAAAATGGTTAACCCCAGTCCCAGATTGGATTAGGAAATGTAAAGAAAGCCTATCATGTCAGAAAGCACGGAAATTCTAAAGGCCAGTAGGGTCATGTCAAAAGGATTTGGGAGCCACCTTAAATTGGTTCCCACTGTCAAAGATGGGAAAATTTGAACATCAACAAGTTCATTAACTTAACTGGATAGAAAAATATCTACTATGTTCACATACATGAATTCATAATGATTTTTTAAAACCTCATTTATCACTTTTGGATGATGTAACTGATATTGTGAAATATATATTTGGTCTCTTCCCATTTCCTAGCACACAACTTCCAAAATCCTTGGAATCTCCAAAGTGATGTGTCTTTTTGTATGCTAATAATTTATGGCTGGCTATCCCTGGGTAGCCTCCGGATGGGAATAGGTCACCAGAAAGACTAAAGGCATGATTAGAGGGTTGGGACTTTCACCCCCACCCCCTCAACTTTCGGTGAGGGGAGAGGGGCTGAAGGTTGAGTTGATTACCAATGGCCAATGAGGTAATCAGTAATGCCTGTGTAATGAAGCTTCCATAAAAATCCGAAGACTGGATAGCTGAACATATGGAAGTTCCTGGAGGGTGGCAGAGAGGGCATGGAGTTTCCATGCCCCTTCCCACATTTCTTGCTGTGTGCACCTCTTCCATCTGACTTCATCTGTAACCTTTGTAATATCTTTTACAATAATAAGTCAGAAAATGTGTTTCCTTGTGTTCTGTGAATTGTCCTAACAAATTAATAGAGCCAGAGCAGGGCGGTCATAGAAACCCCAATTTATAGCCGACTGGACGGAAATATGGGTGACAACTTATTACTTCAGATTGGCATCGGAAGTAGGGAGCAGTCTTGTGGGGCTGAGCCCTCAACCTGTGGGTTCTGATGCTATTGTGATGCTATTGTCAGAGGCATGTGAACCAGAGCAACTCCCTCTCAAATAGGAGCTGGGTAAAATGAGGCTGAAATCTACTGGGCTGCATTCCCAGGTTAAGGCATTCTAAGTAAGGGATGAGATAGGAGGTCAGCACAAAATACAGGTCATAAAGACCTTGTTGATAAAACAGTTTGCAGTGAAGAAGCCGGCCAAAACCCACCAAAACAAAAATGGCAACGAGAGTGACCTCTGGTGGTCTGCACTCCCACCAACACCATGACAGTTTACAAATACCATGGCAACGTTAGGAAGTTACCCTATATGGTCTAAAAAGGGGAGGCACGAATAATCCACCCCTTGTTTAGCATATCATCAAGAAATAACCATAAAAATGGGCAACCAGCTGCCCTCGGGGCTGTTCTGTCTATGGAGTAGCCATGCTTTTATTCCTTTACTTGCTTAATAAACTTGCTTTCACTTTGCCCTGCGAACTTGCCCTGAATTCTTTCTTGCGTGAGATCCAGGAACCCTCTCTTGGGGTCTGGATGGGGACCCCTTTCCTGTAACATATTTCTCTGTCCTATAACACTATCTTTCAGGTAGATAGTGTCAGAATTGAATTGAATTAGAGGACACCCAGCTGGTGTCTCCTGCAGAATTGATTGCTTGCTTGAGGTAGGGAGGTAGTGGGGAGGGGAGGAGAGCATTCCTACTTCTGGTGT